AACAAGTACTTAAGAACCATCTACCTACTCGAAAAAGGAATTAATCTGTACAAATGTCCTTTAGAAAATGCTATCCCACTATCGAGGAGTAGGTAGCACCGTCGTTGGAGTTTTAAGGGTCAATTCGATTAAGGGACGTGTGGTCACTAAAGCAATGTTAGGACGCCTTAGCGGTAACCCTAATGTCTTAGATCATTTTTATGAGGCAACCGTTTTAAGGCAACTATGATCTTTGGACAAGAGAGAGATCTCTAAAACTTCCTATACTCAATGACCACGTTCGAAGGCAACCAAGCGAGGTGTACCCTAAGAGTGCGCATGTGCGAGTGTGTTATTTTTTCATTTATATTATCTTTGTACATGTTAATGGTGAGCTACTGTTGATTTTAGGTTAAAGATTAATCTTGTCACGCGTTGCCTATTTATCAAACATCTAACAGTTAATAGTTGCGGAATGTAAATTGCGGAAAATAAATCTAAGCTATTACAAGGCGTCGGGTATTTACATCGCCAAAGATAAACCCTTTTAAAATTAAATTGCGAAAATTAAATAAAAGCGATAAATAAATAAATAAAGTCCTAAGTTAAAAACTATTACATTCCCGAAGCAGTTACAATATTGAAATATGGATCAAAATAATACGCGCGCGAGAAAATTAAATCAGAGTGTCTTAGGGTTTTGACCCTTTTTATTAAATAAAGCATATTTTTTGTTTTTTTTTTAATTAAAAATTAGTCTAAGTTAATAATTGAATTAATTAATTAAATGAAAATATTTTTGGGTTTTTATTTTAATTAAGGCAATAAAATAAGAATGGTTAAAAATAATTAATAACCTAATATTCTAATTTGATTTTAATTTATTGCAAAATATATTATTGTTAAACCTATTTAAACTAAATAAAATAATTAATGTTTATTTACAAAAATAAATAATGAAATTAATGGGTTTAATAAAAACATTATTTTTTGTTGTTTCTGATTTTTTGTTATTAGGAAAATAAATAATTTGTTGATGAAATAAATAAATAATAAAAAGAAATATAAAGAGAGAAAAAAAAGAAATAAACCAAAATGGGGGGTTTGGGCCTGATCTAGGTGTATGATCAGCAATTCTTGGCCCATTAACGCCAGCCTGTTTTGACTTTCTCATTCCAATATGCGCTTGTTGACTTTAGTCCATGGTGGATCTGCAACTCTGGCCTTTGGATCTTGGCCTGAAGCCACTTGGCATTTGATGGGATGAGAAACATGATGGTCCACGCTTTGGGCGCTGTACATGAGTACCTGAAGAAAAATCAAATAAAGCTTTGGGGGACCTGGGATTCGAACCCAGGTCCCAAGGGGTTTTGCCATAGCATGCTTGCCAACTCATCCACGCTGTTTCTTTGTTATTGGAATAAAAAACAAATATTATAAGATAAACAAATAATTATGCCTGGCAAAAATAAAAAACGCGCTAACGATTTGAACTGGCCAGTAAGGAGAAGACGCGTGGTCGTCTTCTTCACAAAGCCCCCTGGTAATTTACCTGCGTATTTTAATCCGCAGGAAAGTTCGTAGCTTGCTTCCAAAAACTCACCCTAGGCTATGGAAACGAATTCTAAAAATACCATTGTACTCGTCTCCTTCACCTGATCATCCCTGTAACCATTATTTGGCCCAATTTTCCCTGTAATTCAAACGCCTAAAAACAACACAATAAAACCCTAGGTTTGGGTACATGATTATAGGCCATGAAAACGAAATTAAATGATGCAGACCTGTTAGAAATTTGATGTTAAGCATGATTGTACAAATGAATTGGCAAAAAGATGCAAGAGAAACGATTCACGATGCCAAGTTCAGAGCTTGGTTCGTGATGACTTACAGTGAGTTTTAGGCAATGAGAAGGCTTGATTTTGATTGGTATCGCTTCACTGGATGTCAGGGAAGAGAGCTATGTCAAGCTTTTGCTTTGTATCGAGCTCCAAGATGGATTTCAGATTTCAAGTTTCCAAGCTTTTTTCCAAAGTTCTTCTGGCCGTTTCAGTAGTGTTTTGTGCGTGTTCTTTGTCTGCCTCCCTTGTGTGCACATAATAGGATGTATTTAGGTCAAAACTTGGGCCTTAAACCATATGCATTGAAGATGGAAGATTTGATTTTGATCACCATTATCAAGTTGCCATATTTGCATCAAATCTGAGATTTTGTGCATGTTTTGACTTGGCACGAATTTGATTGAGTGTCATATGATATTTGCAAGCTGTAATGACCACAAGAATCTTATTACATCAATTTTTAGATTTTATTTGATTTAATATTGATTTAAAATGAATTAAATCAATAAAAATTAAATAAAATAGAAAAATAAATGAATGGCCATGAAATTAAAGATGGAACACGTGTGTGGCATGACAAGACTATATCAAGTGGAAAAAAGTGGGCCCTTTTGTCAACAATTGGAGTTTTGAGGATAGTTGACTTTTGGCAAATTTGGAAAAATGCCCAACTTCAACAATGCATAACTTCTTCAATTTTGAACTTTTGGAAGTGTTCTTGGACTTTTTAGGAACCTTGAGATGTCCTCTAATCAACCATTTTGGTCTCATATCATTTTGATGTTCCATGCTCAAGTTATAAGCTTTGGAAAATAAGGTGTTTTTGTTGACTTTCAAAAATGACCTATAATGTCCAAATTAATAACTTTTTGTGAGAGAATTTATTGATCTTGGGGTGTGAAGATGGATTGTAGGAAATTGCATCCTCTTAAAAATGAGCTTTGGATGGATCATTTCTCATAAAGTATGAGAAAGTTATGCTTGGCTAAAGTTGAGTTGACTTTTCCTACAAAACCCTAATTTAACAACTTTTGAATCTTGATGAATCTTGAACAATCCTTGATGAATCATGATAAAACCTTGATAAAATGATGAATTATCCTTAAAAATGAGAATGTTGACAAAAAATCTCGAGGTTTGACTGTATTTGGGTCACAGTTGACTTTTGCCCTAGCACAGTCGATTTTTGGACTTCTTGAGCAATTGACTGACCAAACTTCCTCTGCAAGGCTTGAAATTTGTCATGGATGAACTTAAGAACATATTAGGACATTGGGGAGAACTTGAGGTCATTTGTATATGAGGACCTTAATGCAACACAAAACCCTAATTTTGACTTGACTACCTTAGGAGGTGATTTGACTGTCCAACCTTGAGCCAACTTGAGCAACTTGAAGATTATTCTTGACATGTCTTGAGAAATATGGGAGGGCAAATTTTGGGGTACAACAATGTCTATGTTTAGGTTGTGCCACAAGATATAAAAATTGTATGCTTATATGTAGATAACTTGTTGGTAACTGGAAATAACTTGGAGAACTTTTCGAAGTTCAAAGAGATGATGATGAGGAATTATGAAATGTCGGATCTAGGAAACTTCTCTTATTTTCTAGGTATGGAATTTCAAATGTCGAAGCAAGTTTTAGTGCTACATCAAAGGAAATATGTCAAAGAGATACTCAAGAGATTCAGAATGGATGATTCGAATCCTGCATCCTCACCTATCGAACCATACTTAAAACTGGAGAAACATGGACATGAGGACAAGGTCGATGCTACTTTGTTCAAACAAATTTTGGGATCTTTGAGAGATGTGTGCAACCGTTGACCATATATAGGTTTCACAATCGATTAGTGAGAAGATGCATGAGTGACCAAGGGTGTCACCCATGAAGGTTGTAAGAAGAATCCTGAGATACTTAAAAGGTTCGATAAACTATGGAATGATATTTTGGCGAGACACTGAAAGCAAAGAAATTGTGAGTAATTTATATTCAGATGTTGATTGGTGTGGAGATAAGGAAGATCGAAATAACATAACTGATTATTTATTTTTAGTCTTTGGTGCCCCAATCTCATGGTGCTCGAAAAAGAAACCAGTGGCGACATTACCATCGTGTGCGATGAAATATATAGCATGGTCTTATGATGCGTGTCAAGCAATTTGGATCAGATCTGTGCTGGAAGAGATCAAGGTCGAAGTGAAGAAACCTGTAGTGTTGCAGATCGATAACAAGTGAGCCATTAATCTTGCAAAGAATACAGTTTTGCATTGAAGGAGTAGGCACATTGAAACTATATTTCACGTCTTGAAGGAGAAAGTAAATCAATGTGAACTTGAAGTAAGACATTGCTCAAGTGAAGTGCAGTTAACCGATATTTTCACCAAAGGATTAAAGATCAACAAATTCTTAAATTTGAAGAAGAAATTATGAATAGTTCAGATCGACTATGATTAGCGTTAACGTATGTTCGACAATTTAGATTATAAGAGGTATGTTGTGATATAATCCAAGTTAAGTAATCCAAGTCCATACCTAAATTAATTAAAGTTTGTTTGTTACTTAGTATATAAGTTAGTTGTATATAAATATTACATATTATAAATCAATTTTTATTCTTTTATTAATAGTAATTCTTATTTTTTTATTCTGTATTTCTCTTTTCACAAAAAATATCTCACGCACTAGCAAAAACCTTAATAAATTTATAAATTATATTTCCGTTAATTTTTTTATTTTATTTTTTTGTACACGTATTTCTACAAGTGAAAAATTTGTCTTTTTTACTACTTTCTCAACCTCAAAAGATGATAAGTTTATCATAGTAAAATAAATATTATAATAAGATAGGATTAGAAAGTTATTCCACACCAAACAAGAATAAAAAATTGTACAAAATAATAAAATCATGAAAAAACACATAAATAAAAAATTTAACAACATATAAAATTAATCACTTAAACAAAAAGAAAGAAGAAGAAAACCTGATTAAAAAAATGTCATTTTAGATCAAAATTAACTATAAATCGTCACTTGTCTTGGTGTGATGAGAGTTAGTGGTTTATTAACTATTTTCATTTTATCAGTTTTGCATCTCAATTAGAATACCCATCCAGCCCTTATACATTCTTATATACTATATGAAATTCATTTGGTTGTTAAAAAGAAAAGTAGTAGCAGCGATATTAATAGAATATCAATAAAATCTATTGAGAAGTGGCCTTGGAGACATTTGTTAAGTCATTTGGAAAAAAAACTCACATGTATGAGGCTATCACCGTTCCCCGCCCGTAGCAAAAAAAAACAAAACCATTTCCCCCCACTCACTTCCAAAAGGAAAACCATGTGGAATACAAAAGTACCATTATCATACCCTCCCCCACCACCGACACTCCCCATTTCACTTCAACCTTTATTTTCTTATTACCAAAACTTTATTATTCCTTCCAAAACAAAATTCCCTCTCTTTTATTTTAACCTTTTTCTCCCACCGCACCTCCCTAATCATTTCTCACCCATCCCCCACCTCTCTCTTTCTCTCGCTCTCTCCAATTACCACAACTAGTATTTAGAGTAAACATTGCCTCATAAAGAAACAAAGTAGTCCAAAATAATGAAGCTCAGCTTAGAACTAGGAGTAACAACAACACTTCTTCTATGTGCTGCTATTTCTTTCTTCCACATTACTTCAGCTGAAGATCCATATAAATTCTTCAACTGGAATGTTACTTACGGTGACATTTACCCACTTGGAGTTCGCCAAACAGTATGTCTCATGTCTCATAACTTAATCCCACTTTTTTCATACTTTTGTTTTTCATAAGATTATATTTTGTATATATGTTTGTAATTTTATGATGTTTTTTTTTTAAAAGGGTATATTGATCAATGGACAATTCCCTGGTCCAGACATTCATTCTGTTACAAACGACAATCTCATTATCAATGTCTTCAACAGTTTAGATGAACCCTTTCTCATATCCTGGTACAAATCCTTTCTCTTAACCTCACAGTTATTTAATTAATTATTACCTAATACTAGCATTAATTAAGAACTCAAAACATAAGTATGTCATTAATTAATGTTGACAATGTTATGGTATGTTCGATGGTGATGTCTGTTATTTTGAAAAGTGGCAACAGTAAAGTTTTCCATGTGCCGTTTCGAATATGTGGTCACTGGACACTGATCCAGATCTGGCACACTTTTTTTCTGTATATATGAAAATTTATTTTATTTTTTCTTTTCTAAAAAGGCAAAAGCACATGATTATGGTTGTATTAACGACACATCCATCATGGAGTTCGGTTATGATGTTTATTGTAAGTAATAATTTTGGAGTAGCAAGTAGGCAACCAATACAGCATACTGTCGGAGTAATAAATGTAGAAAAGAAAATTTTAATTCAAAAGATTAAAGTTATTTTCGTTGAATGAATAAATAAGATGTTGCGAGTTCAGTTTCGAATTTTTATAATTAATTATCATTGTACAATTATTAACTGAATTGACCCAATATGCTTTAATAGAGTAAAGTTAAGTTGTGGAAAAGAACACAACAATTATAGTATGGCCCATCCATTACCTTTTACTATTTCCTGGTTGTTGCTTGGTGGAGTCCATTATAACTTACCACCACCTACTTCATCTCGGTTTCTTCCGTATCACGTGGACTGAGAATTTTTAAATTATTAGGTGAAAATTAGATTAATTTTTAATAAAAATATTTAAGTAAATTAATTAAAATTAAAGAAATGTAATACTTTATTAATTAACGATGGTTGGCCTTGCAGGAATGGGATCCAGCAGAGAAGGAATTCATTTGAGGATGGTGTATTTGGAACAACATGTCCAATTCCACCAGGGAAGAATTTCACTTACATACTTCAAGTGAAAGATCAAATTGGAAGTTTTTACTATTTTCCATCTCTTGCATTTCACAAAGCAGCTGGTGGTTTTGGAGGTATTAGGATACTGAGTAGGCCAAGAATTCCAGTTCCTTTTCCTGATCCGTCTGGTGATTACACTGTGCTTATTGGTGATTGGTACAAGTCCAACCATACGGTAACAATATTTACTATACTATTGAAATCAAATTGAGTTGTCTTTTTTTTTTTTTTGTATTTTATTGAGTTGTGTGCCAGACTCAAAGGGCTAAATCTTATTCTATTTAGTAGTACCTCTTGGATAGGGAAATTGTGTCTTCATTCATTTCAAATTTCAATGCAATACAGCGGGACTAACACTTTTTTCACGCTGTATTACCATTCTTATTTATTACTGCTGCATGTGTTTTCAACTCCTTAGTAAACTCAAATTGGAATGTATAATAAATGTACTCCTATACTATGACCATTCATGTTATACTATATCATTATTTTTATATAAATCATGTATTTTCTGCGTGCAACTATTGTAGAGACTAATGTCTCGAGTCCGAGAGGATCACAATGTAGAAAAATACTCCCATATGGGTAGATATTAGTTAACTATATGAAACTTATTTCCTCAAAGTAAACTTTGTATGGATAATATGCAGACTCTAAAAGCCCATCTTGATAATGGAAAGAAGCTTCCTATACCTGATGGAATCCTCATCAATGGTCGCGGCCCTAATGGATTATCTTTCAACGTCGAACAAGGTATGTAATTATTATTTTTTATATAAGCTATGTAAGTATTTAATTAAATTAAATAATAATATTTTCGTTTGAATGTCGTATGATTTGTACACTATAGGAAAGACTTACAGGCTTAGGATATCAAATGTGGGATTACAACATTCCCTTAACTTTCGAATTCAGAATCACAAAATGAAGTTGGTAGAAGTTGAAGGGACACACACTCTTCAAACTACGTACTCCTCACTTGATGTTCATGTCGGACAATCCTATTCAGTGCTAGTAACTGCTGATCAACCTTCTCAAGACTACTACATTGTGGTTTCCACAAGATTCTCGGCGAAGATCCTCACCACTACTGGCGTACTTCGCTATAGTAACTCTGCAGGCCCGGTATCAGGCCCGCCTCCTGGTGGACCGACGATTCAAGTTGATTGGTCTTTGAACCAGGCCCGCTCAATCAGGTAATTCATTTTAAGCTACTTTGAATAATAATTAAGTATATCGTTAACGGTTAATGAGCTTCGGTTAAGGATAAATCGTTTGACTAAAAAATCATAATAAGTGCACGAAATGATTCTTGTGACTCAAGCTATGATCCACATTTTCAGGACTAACCTTACAGCGAGTGGACCAAGGCCTAATCCCCAAGGATCCTACCATTACGGGCTCATAAACACGACCAAGACAATCATTCTGTCTAGTTCACCTGGTCAAGTTAACCGCAAGCAAAGATACGCGATTAATAGTGTATCATATGTTTCTCCAGACACACCTCTTAAGCTCGCTGACTACTTCAAAATTTCCGGCGTTTTTCGCGTTGGAAGCATATCGGATAGGCCCACTGGTGGTGGCATTTACCTTGATACATCTGTTTTGCAAGCCGATTACAGATCTTTCATTGAGATTGTCTTCCAAAACAACGAGAACATCGTTCAGAGCTATCATCTTGATGGCTACTCTTTCTTTGTGGTTGGGTGAGCACACTGCACATTTAACTTCTCCACACAAGTTTATATTTATGTCTCTTTCTTTGAGGCTACTCTTTCTTGATAATTTGTGTCTGGAATTTCTAAAATTGATCACTTGTTTATATGAAGTATGGATGGAGGACAGTGGACAACTTCTAGCAGAAACAATTACAATCTCCGAGACGCAGTCGCGCGATGCACCACTCAGGTGAGAATTGAGTGTAGAATTAGTCTTCTAGACTTCGTTATTACACATTCAGTTTGTTAGTTACTGATGTTGGATTTTGTTAAGGTATATCCTTATTCATGGACTGCTATTTATGTTGCTCTCGACAACGTTGGAATGTGGAACTTGAGGACTGAGTTTTGGGCGCGACAGTACCTTGGCCAACAGTTTTATTTGCGCGTTTACACAACATCAACTTCAATCAGAGATGAGTTTCCTATTCCAAAGAATGCGCGACTCTGTGGTCGGGCAAGTGGGCGTCATACACGACCCCTTTGAAGGCATTATAACTTTAGAATCATGAAAAGTAGTTAACTTATCTACTTGTAATTTTATTGTTGAGTGTTTCAAATATATATGTTGTGCTCCGGTCGTTTCACAAACATGTTCGAGTCTAAATGACCTCAGCTCGAGGTCACATTCTTTTCCAGTAAAAAAAAGAGAATAGTACTCCCTCCGTTCCTGAATTTTGTTTCCTTTGTATTATCTAGAATTTGACTACTATTATTGTTATAAAGTAAGGTTACACAGATTGCAGAAGTTGGTATTTTGCACTTAGCTGAGAAGGTGATTCATTTGATGTATTGAATGCAGAACTCTTTGATTTTCAGTTGCTATAATAATATACATATCCTTTTTACTTCGGCATTATTTTTTTGACACATGTAATATGAATGTTATATATTCGGCATTATTTTTTTGGCACATGTAATATAAATGTTATATAAGTGTCGGACACTAACACGCGTAAGAAATCACATCATCTGATCATATGTATTCCTGCTTTATAAATAATGTCAAGTGGGATGCATGTTACCATATCATATAAACAAAGTTTTTGTGAAATTCACTGCTACACATTTCAAACACTACGTGATTATCTTAGCCTCTAACATACTTAATCATAAATCATACAGCTGGAAATAGATTTTGTTGCCATCCGAACTAGGTCTAGGGCTATTAAAACACCACCGAATCTAACCGAATTAATGTCAAAATAATCAAATTGTTATGTTTCATTAGTAAATTGTACTATGTTGCACAAACAACTATAGAACTGAATCAAATAGTAAATAAACTGAACTAAATTGAAATTGAAATTGAAAATAGAAAATGCTAAAACTAAATTTAAATTTTTTATTATTTTTTTTAAAAAAAAGGCATAATAGTCTGGTTCTTTAACAAATTGTTTGATTTGAGAAAAATTATCTTCTGACAATTTGGTAAAATTCGTAATTCCAAACCGGTATATCAAACTATTAATTTTAGTTCGGTTTGATTCTGAATAAATTTAAACGGTTCAAATGACCTTTTATTATAACTTGATTCTGAAGTGGTATATCGAACCATTAATTTTGGTTTAATTCGATTTTAATTAAAATTAAACAGTCATATAATTTTGGCTTAAATAGTATTCTCGTCCCCGTAAGTTAACGAGATTTTGATTTTAATCCCTGAATCTTTTTTTTTTTATACAGGTCCTCATAAGTCCATTTCTTGTTGGATATAGTCGCTGCTGACAATGGACTGTTAAAAAAACTGAGTTGACAGACTGAGTTGACAGACAGTGATGATCGGACTTTTGAAATTTCATTTTTTCTATTATTTTCATTAACACACGGAGAAAAGTTGTTTCACAGTTTATTAAAGAGAGATCAAATAAATAAATAAAGTCTTTTTCCAAATCTTTCCTCTCTCTTCGCCATTGCACTTTCTTCTTCCTCTCTGCACCATCAACATTCAAATGGTCATGTCTTCGTCTTCGTCTGCCAACTCGCATCACATTCAAGTACTAATTTGTGGTTGCAATAGAACAATGAAAATGTTTATCTCAAACTCTATTGAAAATACTAAAAGGAGATTTTGGAAGTGTCAAAATTCAGGATTGATGTCTGGTTGCAAGTTGTTCATTTGGGATGATGACCTTGAATGAAATCTATCTAGTGATCTTAAAAGTTCAAGTGGATGCAATTGTTCGGATGTGTTGAACGATTTATGGTCCATTGTTAAAGAGATTGAGGTTGACCAAAAGGCAGAGATGAATAGTAAGTTAGAGAAGGAAAAGAGAAAAGGAAATATGTTGAAGCTATTGTTAGTTGTGTCATGGGGTTTTTTCTTAGCTTACCACAAATGGTGGTGAATCTCATTTGTTTGTGTCTGTTTGTTGTATTTTGATTTTAGTCCTTGTAACATTAGCGTTTTTGAAATTGGTCCCTGTATCATATGATGAATGAAAATGATGTTTTGATTTTGGACAATATATATTTGCAATTTTATTGTTTTTCATGTTTTGCATTTTAAATGACAGAAATATTATTAGAGGTAAAAACCAAATTGTTACTAGACCATTTCAATTGGGCATAAACCAAGCTTGTTAATGTATCCAAAATACATAAAGTATAAAAAACATATAGGTTCAAACACTAAGGCTAAATCCAAAGTAGTAATGTAATCAAAATACATAATACAAAATAAAAAGGCTTTAGCCAAAATACATGATGTAGTCATCTTGTTCAACATAACAGAAAAACATAATTCAAAACAGATCCAATGTCTACAATTTTCATGGTTGTGCATGATTACTTCCTTCTCCCTTGAGCTTTTTGCATTTGAGTAACCTTGCTCTATCACTTCTCCTCAACTCCAACTTCCTTGCTACCTTTTGTTTGAGTTTCTTTATTTACAAAGACACAATCAAAATAGATCCAATTAGGACAATATCATTAAAGCTAATAATAAACACATTAACTCAATTAGTACACCAAACTCAACTGGCTTAAGATTTCTATGAGGCGCAGAGACATGTTCCTTAGGTGGAGGTGCATGAACTGCTTCTTGAAGTGTATGGTAAACCTCTTAAAAAGGTGCAGAAAGAATGTAGTTGATTTATGAGTCACCAATTTCTTGTGAAGTCATTACAGATGAAACCTCCATAGTTGGAACATGACCACTAACAACTTGAGGTGTAGCTGGAGTTTGGTAAGTAAGATCATTGACATTGGGTTGAGGTTCTATTTTCTTAAAAGTTGTTCAAAGATCTGCTGCAAGCATTTCAAATTCTTGGTCCACATCTCATTGACTTACATGTTGTTGTTCAATTGAAGGTTCAAGCTGATGTTGTTGTTGTTCAATATAAGCTTCAACATTAGTTTATTGTTCTTTTACAGGTTTAATTTGAGTTATTTGTGTCATAGTTTTCTTTGATTTTTTCTGCACATGGTATTTATGCAATTAATATCACACATAAATAATTAGTAGCAAAAACATATTTTTAGTTAAGTTAATACCTTTCTTTTTTGAGCTTCAGGGCCAGGCACCAAAATTGAACAATTCCTTGCATTATGGCCATGTACACCATAGTTGGTACAACAATAATATGTTTGTGTCCTTCCCTTGTTAGGATCCTCACCAGGTTCCCCCCTCCTTAATTTCTTAGGCCTTCCAGATCCTCTTTTGTACGATGGAGGCAACATATCTTTAATTTCAACCTCTGGCCATATATCTTGGTCATTAATTGGACTAACATTAAAATTATAGCATGTCACATATGTTTATTTTGAATAACAGTCATCCACATAGTCTTTTGGGAATTGGTTCCTGAAGCCTAAGGCAGAGACTGCATGTCTACATGGTATGCCTACCGACTCCCATAAGTTACAAGTGAAAGTTATTTTAGAAGTGTCCACTATAAAACTATATCTGGTATGAATATGTTCAATTTTCCATATAGTGTCACCAGACCAGTTTGGAATCCAATTATCAGCATGTTCTACTTCTTTATCTAACCTAATTCTAGGTCTTGGCATTATCCTATGTTGTCACCTATCAACTTTTTCTCTTAAGCTAGCATTCCTATTCACGATGTAGTTTCTTATTCATTCACACATGGTTAAGATTGGTTTATCCCTAAACACTAATATTATACTATTAAAAGCTTTAAATACATTATTAATTAACATGTCACATTTGGGATAGAATGAGAAAGCAGGCTTACACAATGATTTGATAGGTATTTTGTTCAACCACTCCCAAGCTTTCAGATTAAGCACCTTCAACTCTTTCATCTTAGCTTCACATGCTTGTATATATGTGGCCTTTGCTGCAGCCATCATCAAATCTCTGATCTGTGTGCCACCACCAAATTTCTTTTTAAAATTGGCATATAAGTGCCTAAGACAAAACATGTGCTTCAACCTTTCAAACATCTATTCAAATACATGAATTAAGCCCTTGAAATCTAAACAATATATAATATCAGGGGTCTAGTTCAAACAAACAGACCTATTATAGGTACCTAGTTCAAAACAAACACACATATCCATGAATGGAATCCGGAAAACCACTTATATATCAGGGATCAAATCTAAACAAAAATACATATTTCTGGGACGAATTATAAAAGTAAAAAATTACTTAGGGATGAAATTCAAAAAAAGAAATAGATCCGAGAAGTACCTTTTACTGGTCTAATGTGAATACCCATCTTTTATCTTGTCCAATGTCTTCTAAAAGCAAGGTTAGGAACCACCTCCATGTTTCCTTTGTTTCAGTCTCACATACACCAAAAGCCAAGGGGTAATATTGGTCGTTAGGGTCCCTGACAACAACAATAAGCAAAGTGCCTCCATATTTTGTCTTGAGGTGACATCCATCAACACAATTGAACAACCTGTAAGCTATGGTGAAACCCTTCTTAAATCCAAAAAAAAATAAAAGCACCCAAATCTTGATTTTATTATGGAACCAACTCTTGTAACATTAATTTCGCAAGTGTTTTCTGTATTGACCCTACTTAACTCTGTATAATACCTCCAGAATAGTGTATATTGCTTTGTTGCATCACCTTTAACCAAAGTTTTTGCAATTTTCTTAGCCTTTCGTGCCCTGCTCATAGTTATGCCTACATAGTAAGTACTCCTTATCTCAGAAATAATATCACGAAGCTTATTCCATCAGATGAAACCATCCTAGCCTCCAAAGTCTTAGAAATCCATTTGGAGTTAGCAGTAGTGTTATTCAAAACCTTAGCACACGTGTGAGCACAAAACCATTTCTTTATTTTATATGTGTGCTTATTCCCCATTTTACTAACAAGAGCCAAAAACCCATAATTCCCCTTTGTTGTACCCCAAATTTTCCCTCCCATTTTTACTCAAGAAATGTTCATTGAGGTCCTCAATTGCTCAAGAAGTTTAAAATGATTTCCATGGAACCCTATATGCCTCAGAATAATGGCACAACTGAAAGAAGAAAAAGAATTGTACATAACAAGATGTAGG